TGGAAACACTGGAAGGTATAAAAGTTTTATTATTTACTGTGAATAAAATTAATCATCTTTTATGTGATAATTTCTAAACTTTATTACCATTTATTTGCATTTAAGGTAAATAGTTAATCTTTTGTAGGGTGCCTAGCTAATTTTCTGCTTATTTAGTGTTTGTTGAATGAATCAAAAAGAAAATATGGATTGTATTATTATAAACTAGGATTTTTAAATTGTCAAATAGACTGATATAGTTGGCTAATTCGAAGGATGTTATGAAATTTGAATACATATAGTAGCTGGGTTTTGTTAGGAATAGAAGTTACCATCCTGTATTTCTTAGTAATTTTCAAGTTGCAATTTATATACCTTATTGTTATGCCTTGCAAGCTTTGTTGGCTTGTTCTTGTACTTACAATCTATATTCACCTTATGTTACAGCAATGCAGAGCCATCGTGAAGGCATATGACATGAATCCATTCCTTCACTCCCCTATTTATTGCTTCTGGATACCACTGTTGTTGGCCTACACAATTTACAGGACATCCACCTGTTAAATAAGCTTCATTTACAGTTTGAGTTTATAGAGTTTTATGTCTCGCTGCAAAGATCATATCTCAATTTAGGTTTCATTTGGGACGGTTTTCTAACTGCTTTTTAAAGCAGTTTTTTAGTACGAAAATTTTAATTTTTAAATTAAAAAGTTGTTTTAAGCAGTAAGAAAGAAATCCCAAACGAAGTCTTAGAAGAAGGTATAAAAGCATACCTTGTTTTCTGAGGGCTATGCATTTGAAATTCCTGATCTGAAACTATAACTCATTATTGAAATACTGTACTATCAAAGCAGAAGATGTCAGGTTCTCACTATTTATGTTGATGGGGCTTTCTTGTGAAAGCAAGAACGTTTCCATAGAGTTTGTTTGCTTGTAATGTTGTTGTAAGTGGTTTTGAATTGGGTTTCTCCCACTTTGTTTGTTAGCAAAGGAATTTTGTAGACAGGCCTTTATAAATGATTTGACTTGGGCAACCCACCCACCCTTCTCTGATAGGAATTGTATGAAATGCAACCCAACCAGCACTATGGTTGAGAACTTTGGTTTCTATTGAGACGATTTTGAGATTTAGATTTCATTTGGGATGACTTTCTTTCTGCTTATTAAAGCAGCTTCTTAGTATAAAAATTTTAATTTTTGTATTAAGAAATTGTGTTAAGAAACAATAAGAAAGCCATCCCAAACGATTCGTTTGAGACAGTTTTCTTAGTGCTTCTTAAAGCAACTTTCTAGTACAAAAATTTTAATTTTTGTACTAAAATTTTGTTTTAAGCAGCAGTAAAAAAGCCATCCCAAATAAAACCTTAGTAGAATGGCTTGGCGAGTAAATTTATGACTAAATCCATTTTAAGATTATAAAACTATGAAATGATATTTATTGGAAGATTTTTATTGTGTATACTTGAGATCATTGAATCAAATTCTGAATTGTTTACAAGTTTTTTGCTTGATTCCCAAAGGTTTCATAGTGATTATATATGTAAAACTTTGTAACGTTCATGGGCAGAGGACCATACTCCTTTCACAAATAGAGATAACATACCTATATACTCTCTTTCTCTCTCTAAATCTAAGCACATAAACAAATGAAGCTCTTTTATTCTTCTAATCCACAAGGTTTCAATCTATGTTCCTTAACCATTGAAAATGTAAAAAAGACATCTTATCTTGCATTCTTATGTCTTCTTTGAGAAAAATTCTAATAATAAAGTATGAGCCAATCCATGTAGATTTAAGTTTTTCATGGAATGAATTATTTTTATGATCAAACAGTGAGACATCTTAATCAGTATAAAATTTATAATCAAGAACTTTACATCCATGCATTTCTTCATTTCTACATTATATCTTTTTGTGTCTTCTTGAATTTCATTGTTAAAATCATGAAGTTTATTAATAATAATAGAACTCTAAAGATTGAAAGGAGAAAAATAATCATCATTTTTCAATTGCATTTCACTTCTATTCCTAGAGGGAGAATGCTTTCTTTTCTTTGCACCTATGGCTTTCAAGTTTCTAGAATGAAAGAAAAATTCTAAACAACACTTTACTCCAAAAGATTTATCAAGGATATAAAATAATACTTCAATCTTATCCTTTTTATAGTTTTAACTGGCTTTGATGTGACAAATTTCAATTTTAAACCAATTGCTTTAGACATAGTGCTGTAACGCTAAACACAACACTAGGCACACTCGAGATTTTTTAAGCAAACTCTAAAGATTACTAATATTAAAAATAATAATCCTACCTAACACACCAAAATCAAAGCTGTGTTTCCTCCCTTAAAGCGCTAAGTTTATAGTCTTCAACCAGACTTAATAACACATTAATCCTAATCCCTGGCTGCCTCCCACAGCGCTAAGTTTATAATCTTCAATTAGACTTGCTTAGATTTTTCAATTTGGTTGGGATACATTATTTTCATTCTTCAAATAACTTCTACTAAGATCCTTTTCTTTTGGGTTAACTTCAGTATTACTAAGTAAAGATCTAAGAAGTCTACTACTAACTGAAATATCAAGCTGATTTAATTGGATTTTAAAAATTTTAATATAAACAACTTGATTTGATTATTGATTCCCTAATTGCATTACTACATCTTTCGATGCTAATTTTTAATTTTCAAATTTATTGCTTTGATTAAATCCTGAAGGATATATAAGTCTAGAATTAATAGCAGGTTATTGAGGATTATTATAATTTACTTGATTATCTGCCCATTATTCTATTGATTTTTACCACCTACATTATCTGACCAATTAAAATTAGGATGGTTACTCCAATCTAGATTATATGTATTTGAATATATATTATTTTATCTTTTAATTAAATTAATATTTTCAATTCCTTGCACATTGTTATCTTTAATTAAATCTTGATCCCCCTAAGATTAACTTCCTAATTCAGTATTTACTCCTATTGTATTCAATTTCTTAGAAATTATTACAACTTATGCAGTCAAGATTAATAAAGCATCAGATTCATAAATTCCTGCTACTTTTAAGATTTATCCTATATGTAGGCCACTAAAAATTATTAATAATCATTTCCTCTATTAATTCATATGCTTTGTCAATCATAGAGTTGCTTAGATGAAACTTTTATTTCAGTATACCCTTCTAATCACTTTTTTTTAAAATAACCTGAAGAATAAGCAATTACAGATATATAATCAGCGTTCTTATATTTTAGTTTTTTTTTTTTTTTTTTTTTTTTTTTTTTTTTTTGCGTTCTTATATTTTAGTTCATTCATCGCATGACTTGCAATTGTTTAATTTTTTTTGTGATCAGTCCTTTAATTGAACAATCCATTGTTCAACTTGATTTTTATTATCTTTGATTTCTTCTTTCAATTAAAATAATAATTCCCGAGATCGAGATCGTAATTCAATTTCTCTGGGTTTATTATTTTTAATTAAATTGGATAGTCTATTTATAAATTTTTCTAGAAATTAATTCGTTCAGTTTAAGAAGCTGAAATTTTTTATATCGAGCTTGCTAAGAAGTTTTTAAATAAGTTAAAAAAAAAAAAGAAAAAAAAAAGTTTTTAAATAAGTTATCTAATCACTTAGATTTTTAATCAGCAGTTTTTTCTCTCGTAACTATGCAAAAAGAGAGTAAACAGATAACTTAAAAATTAGATCTATAAGATTATTTAAATGACCTTTCTCGCCATATAATTGATGAGGGAAATTTCCAGACTTAAAATAGTCTGAAAATTTCCCTCACCAATTATATAACGAGAAAGCTCATTTAAATAAAATTTTCAGACTTAAAATAGCAAGAATATTCAGTTTTTTTTTTAAGGAAATAATATTTTTGGCTTTTTTAGATATTTTTACGGTTTTGTTTGGGACGGTTTTCTATTTGCTTCATAAAGCAATTTTTTAAAGAAAAAAAAAAAATAAATTTTTAACTAGAAAGCTGCTTTAAGAAACAACAAAAAAGCCGTCTCAAACGAAGCCTAAATCAAGTTACATAGCATTCTTCAAGAAAACTCACTAACAAAGAAAAAAGAAGGATTTAAATGAAAAAGAAAGCAAACTTAGAAAAAAAAATTTAAAAACAAGAATTAATAATTATATTAGAAAATACCAAAAAAAAATAATCTCGCTCTAATACCACAAGGGGTGATGAGATTTTCTCTAATGTTGGAACCCTTAAACAAAAACACAAATAAAATTTAAAGTAGGAGCAGAAACAAAAAAAAGAAAAGAATTTAAAATAAAAAAGGAAATAAAAATTAAGAAAGAACATAATGAAGATATTATAACAAGCAGAAGCAAAATAATGAAATTATAAAAGATGAACTTTTTATTAAGGATATAAAAAGATAACTCTTCTGTTGAAATATAATATTTCATTTATTAATATTAGAAGCAATCAAGAGATAAACCAGTTTAGTCAATGCCCATTTGAATCCCGTTTTTAGGTGCTATAGCCGTCCAATAGAAATTAATGGGCAATTACTTAGGTTAAGTTTTACACGGAATTGAAATCATAACCTAAAATTTCAAATTTGAAATCAATCCATAATTGTTAAAATGAGTACTTCCAAAGTTGCAATACTATATATAGAATCAAATATTTGAGACTCTACTTCGAAGATATCTATGTTGTATCCACCAATGCTTAGTTTGGTTGGTGGGCGTGCTCGGTTGGTAACCTCCCATCCCGAGTTCGATTCACTCAGGCGGTAGTCGCCCCTCTAGGGGGGACCCAATAAATGCTGGCCACGAGTAGCAAGGGTGTGGGTCGCTCGTCTAGGCAGCCGAGGAGACTAGTGGACATCGTCAAGCGCGTCACAAGCTGACATGACAGCAGGCCGATACTCCCCGTTCCAAAAATAAAAGATATCTATGTTGCTCTTTTGACTTATAATGTTCTATGTCAATACAAATAAGAGTCATGCAGGTAATTCAGAAGTAGAGATATTTACATGCCTAAATATCAAATACTTAAATTTTTTATATTGATTTTTGTAAGATACAAATTTTCATATCAATAAAAATATCTTTACTATAACTTATTTAAAATAAAAATGGTCTTTTCATACATTTAAATACTAAATGACATAAAAATAAATATATAAGTTTTGTTAATACATATTTAAACATATAAAAAACTTTGCGGTAAATATATGGATCCTCCTTAGAAATTTATATCATTTCATCAAAGGTGAAGTCCATGATTGTTTAATGACCCTCTGCTGGACTTCAATAGCCCTACCATTCACATCCCTCTTCCAGCTGCTAAAACTACCTTGAAGATCTTCAGACTTATAATATTATAAAATCAGTATATGTTTTTTTTTTTTCCCAAGCCTCCAAGATGCCTCAATATAAGAATATATATGATACACAGCTCACCTTGGTCAGTTGATTGATAACTTAGACTTCCAACTAAGAGGTCTTGAGTTCGAGTCTTTGTGTATGCGTTATGTGTGAGTTTGCCTTAAATGACCTAAATGTCCAAAAAAAAAGAATATATATGATTAATTGTTTACACAATATTGCTCGCAAAAAAATGCCGACCTATGATTTACGATAGCTCTTCGAAATTGCTCTTAATACTAACTCTAAAACTGTTCACTCTTGACTAATTCCAGGCAAAATTTTGCCACATTGGATCTATAAGCTTGATCACAGACCCAATCAGGTCTGCACATTTGAGGGCAATGGAAGTGGCAAAAGAGGTAGGGGTATTGCTTTCCTATGACCCTAAAATCTTCGGCTGCCATTATGGCCTTCAGAAGCAGAGGCAAAGAAGCAAATTATGAGCATATGGGAACAAGCTGATATCATTAAGGTTAGCGATGAAGTGGCTTTGACACTCTGGTGTCCAAGATTGAAGCTTCTGCTGGTCACTCTTGATGAAAACGGTTGCAACTTTACACAAAGGTGAGCCCCATCAATATCCCATTACTTCAATGGTAGTTGTTATAGGAGAGAGATAATCTACGTTTCACACAACTATAAAATGCTAGTAGAGAAGCTAATAGATAATAAAAACTTGGGTGATTTATATGTGTCATGAAAGCTTTTATGGTGTAAAATATTATAATTAATACATTCACCAATAAACTCAGGTTTAAAAACATCATCATCAACAACAACAACAACAAACCTTTATCCCACTAAAATGTGGGGTCGATTACATGAAATCTTTTTATCTATTGTGTCCTATTAAGGGCCAAATTCTCATCTAAATCTAATAAAGAAAAGTCATTTCTAATATTTTCAAACCAAATTTTTTTAGGTTTATCTCTATCTTTCTTAACATAAGTTAAATCTAATACATTTACTTTCCTAACCAGATCATCGAAAAACTGCCGTTTTATGTGACCAAACCATCTATGATGACTCATTCTAATCTTATCTTCTATTGGAGCTACTCCAATTTTCACGTATACACTCAGTTTGTATCCTATCTTTAAAACTTTTCACTTCAAGTTTAAAAACAGCGTGTGATCAAAATATAGTATTTGGCCAAATTATAAGAAGTTCATTTAGATCTAGTAAATAGGTTGATCGCAAAATCTAAATAAATCATAATTTTATTCAATCTTAATAATCTAATTTTCATAGAGTTTCTTAAGTGCTAAAAGCTATAGACAGTAGAGAATTAAGGAGACATAAATATAAGATAATTAGATTAACCAAATAAAATTAGTGACACGGTAATAATTAAAACATGAATTTATTTGACTAAACTCTTAATGACCCACTTTAATAACCAACTGTGATAATACTTAATCGATGCAGAAAAATTCGCAGTTCCAGAATCAATTTTCTAACCAACTAAAATGTAACCCTACCCAGTTGATTCTTAAATATAAAACTTCAGTTGAAGTCGCGCCAAAAAAAATTATTGAATCTAAGACTGAAATTGAAAAGAAACTAACTGCAAATTTGAATAATAATTTAATAACTTTTCTCATGACTAATTGCATCTTATTTCCAAACCTGAAGGATTTCCGAGGAGCTGTTCAAGCATTTACGGTCAAACAAGTAGACACCACAGGCCCGGGACCGCCGGTGATGCATTTGTTGGCGCCTTGCTCTGCAAAATAGTAGATGATATGTCTGTGTTGCAGGTCAACAAACTTACGATCATATTTCCATGGATTCCGGATAGTTTCCTAGTATGGAAAATGTTTTCTAAATTAATTATCATATTTGTCACAGGATGAGAAAAGAATGAGAGAGATTCTGAGATTTGAAAATGCTTGTGGAGCAATCACAACCACGAAGAAAGGAGCAATCCCTGCCCTTCCCAACCTCATAGAAGCCCTGGCACTCATGGAAAAAGCCATAGAATAATCTCAGCAATATGTCTTTTTAAGCTTAATGCTTGGCCATTTATCAATTCTTCAGACCCGTTTTTTCTAAGTCATTTCAATCCATTTTATGTTCAAAGCGTTTTATTGAACTACTTGCATTAAATTTAATAAAAATACTAGTAAGATTTTGAGTGTTATAGCAAAATTCATGCAATTATAGGCTTACAAATTACAGAACAATTGCTTGAGGAAAGCATTCAGTGACCTCTAAGCGAATGCTGGACCAAACCTGCTTGCAAGTCTCAAACTTAGCCAGTAAATGAGCGAAGAATGCTTTAGCCCATATTTCTTTGTCCCGGTTGCAGCTTAGTTCATATGGTACAGAGAAACTGGAAATGCAAAAGAAAATTAAGTTTAATAACTAATTTATCAGCTTATCGGTAGAAAGGAACCCTCAAAGATGTGGTATCACATATCAAATCAAACTGAAATATTAAACATATTGACAAATCACTCATCATGCAATAAGGCTATTCTCTGTGTTTTTCCAACAGTTTACAACCCACTTAGAAAACGAAAATAAAAAGAAAGCGAATTATGTAAGAAAACAGTAACTATCAATCCTCGATAAAAACAGGGCTAGATATCACATGATTCTAATAAACATAATATTATATATGATGTGATGCAAGATTGGAGTTACACAAGATTATAAAAAGAGAATTTACTACAAGTTTAACCGTTATAAAATCATGCGTCAATTCCAAGTTAGTTGTAAGAATTCTCCGTATTCCACTTGCTAATACTTGCTTAGTCGAAGAGTAGTATGAAAACTAACCAAAACAATTTAATCAAATATAAATGTGACGTAATGTTAAAAGCTTACAACATGAATCCAAAAGTTAATTAAGAGTTGTTCACCTTGAGGACCTACTCTCTTTTCCCTACAAATCTAGGTTGAGCGGAGGAAGATCGTCCACACTAGAAATGAGGTAGCCACTAGGACGGACGAGCAGAGGAACGTCGTTGTTGGGAAGGTAGCCGGAGGTGGAGGTGGCACGGATGGATGACCATCGATGATCCACTCGTAGTCTGAAAATTGGTCGTCGATGATGTGCACAAGGGTGGGGAGGATTAGATTCAAGTAACCTTCAATGGTGTCGTCATGGTCAAACGCCACGTCGAAGAATGGAGATCGAAGGATGTGGATGTCTCCGTAGACGTCGAATACGAGTCTGCCTTCAATTTCAGGATCCGCCATGCATCATTGGCTTGAAGATGAGAGAGCACGACAAGGAAATCCAAGAGGGAGAGGGGCGGCCGGCTTGTGAGGATAGGGGTGAGAGGGGGCGGCTAGGGTTAGGGAAAATTAGGGATCCTCAATAAATCTCAGGTTAATTTCAGATTTAAGTGGTTTTGGAGGGAGGTTTGAATTTCAATTTTGAAATTAATTGAGGGTGGGGGCTAATTTGACAAGAGAGGAATTTTGCCCATGTATGGGGCCGGCGGCATAGAGAGGAGAGGGGAGAAGGTTTTGTGGAGAATACTGAAATCAATTTTAGTTTTAAGTGAAATTGGAGGGAAGTTTTCTTGAAATCAATTTCGGATTTCAAAATAGGGAGAAGGGCATTGATTGCATTCAATGGAATTCCCCAATGAGGGGGTCGGCGGCTTCAAGGAGGGGGAGGAGATTGGGGGAGGAAGGGAGGGGGTTTCCAAATGCGTAATGATGACTAGGAAAGATAATTATTAAATGATTTAATTTTAAATTGGATTTAACATAAAGAGCTTTCCTAATTTGGATTTTCCAATTTGGAAAGAATTTGAAATTCGAATTTCGAATGTCAAAAGGATGGCGGAAAGAGAAGAGGTGTGGTGGACGGATGGAGGGGGGAGGGTCGGTGGCAAGGTGGTCGGTCGGTGGTAGGATTGCCGGCGGCGGCTTGAGCTTCAAGGGGTAGGGGTCAGGTTCTTCGAGCCAAGGGTTATGGTGTCTTCTCTTGAGGTGGAAGAGGAAGTGATTGGGTGAAAAAGATAAGTAAATCAAGAATCACAAACCTTACACTTCCCCTAGAACTCACAAAGAGATCTAATAGCTTTCTCCTTAAGAACTCACAAAGAGATCTAGAGGAGTTTTGGAACTCACAAAAAGATCACTAAGAAAAACTTTTCATTTATCACTAATAATCATACATGATAAGAAAGCCATATATATAGGCTTCCAAAAGACAACTAATACAAAAGATTAAAATGCCCCTTGGGCTACAATAGCGACCAACTACCCATAAGGGCAAAAATGAAAAACTGAAATAGAAATGCGTAATACATAAAATGCTAATACAAATAAGCATAAAAAATAAAGACTCTCCATCATGGCCATCGATCTCCTATGTCGTCTCTGATAAACGCGTCGAAATCTCCTGTCGATGTCCCCATCAATATATATATATATTAAAAAACTAAACTTAATTTGGAAATAATCATCTACTCCATTAAAAAAAAAAGAATATAAAAGGCTTAACTGAACAAATAGCAAGTGCCCCTGATGGGGACATCAGATCGTGGAAGGTTTATCAGAGACGTGGCCGTCGATCTACGGCCACGATCGAGTATTTGTATTTCTGAGTCCTTTTATTATTTCAGTATTTATGTATTTTCTATTTACTTATTGCTATTGTGGTCTTTTCATTTGTACCCCTTTAATGGGATGTATCATGTATGAGCCCAAAGGGCAAGTGAGTCTTTTATTTCTTTGAATCCATTGTACTTGGCTATATATAGCCCTTTGCTTATTGTTTAATGGTAATGAATATTTGCTTATTAAAATTTCTTCTTGCATGAGCATTGAGAGCTTGAGAGTTCTAATGGAGAGAGTTTCCTAGGAGAGGAAGAAGATTTGCGCAATACCCACCAACCTTGGAGACGACCGGGTTCGTGGTTTTCTCTTTGTATTTTGCTTCTCCATCATCACCACCCCTCATTCGTTTTCATTGCTTCAAACGCCACCACCCAAATTCCCCTCCTCCCCCACAATAAACTCCACAAAATCCTCCCTACAGCCGCCGGCCACCCCACCTGAGTCCCCAACCTGCCGGCTCCAATAATCCCACTGCCGGTTCATCCCACTCCCTCTTCTCCAATCAAGTCCATTGCCTAATTGGGATTGAGTAATTTTTTGACAGAATTTTAAATTCAAAATTATCTATTTGAAATTTAAAATCTTTCCTAAAATACTAAATCTAATTTAGGAAAGTTCCTAAATTAAATCCATTTGAATTGGGTTTAATTAAAAACTTTCCTCTTTACTAAACCCAATTAAGAAACCCCTAATTCCTCTCAATAATTGCCCCCATAGACACCCAAGTTTGTTTCCTCTTCAAGTGCAAGAGAAACTTCTTTCTCTTTGCCACCATTCAAGAGGCCTACCAAGTGCTAAGAAGATTTTGCATTCAAGCATCCATGAATGGCGGATCCGGAGACTGAGTACGGGATAACTTAGGACGAAGACGGCTTCACCGACATCCTACGATCCACCTTCTTCGACGTGAATCTGGAGATTGACTACACCGTTGAAGACTACTTAGAGAGGATCCTAGACGCTTTGGTGGAAGCTATCGACGAGCACTTCGAAGGAATCGAGTGGAGGATCTCCACCTCTCCCTAACGAAGGTTTCTCTTTTCCCTTGCATCTTATTCCTTTTAGTCTAAACTCTCCTTAGTTTGATTGCAGTCACGACGAACTCTTCCGCCTTGCTCTTGCTTAAGCTTAGTAATCGTAGGAATTGAGTGCACCTTGATGCATCCTAATTTTCATTGTTAGACTAGGGATTATTTTGAAGATTACTACTATTTGTTGTGTTATTTTTCTTATTTATTTTGGAAGCTTCAAAACTCTCATTATGTGATTTAAGCCTAATCGGATAACCACTGATTGTTTTATTTCATTGCTCGAATTTGCCCGTAACTTTATTCTTGAATTATTCTAATCATAAGTTGTGCAAATCCAAATGAATTAAGCATCGCATATGTAGTTCTGCATCAGCCCCTATAAGCAAGTTTTCTCATTATGTGCTATTACTTCATTATAAGCGCACCTCTTATACTGTACTATTTTAATTATAATAACGATGTGCCAAAAATTGCTGTAGTAATATTAATTCAAACATGAATCTTTAGAAATACCTATCAGGAATACATTAATTGGAATTTATCCAAAGCTTAAAAGGTTTGTTTGAATTGAAATGGAAGATACGCAATGAATCTCCAATCATTGATTTAAACTTTTCTAGTTTTTTTTTTCATATTTAAGTTCTAAATATTAAAACATATTGCCAAAAAGGCTTAATCAAATTATCACAAACATATTCGACATGCGATCCCAAGATTTTTATGAAGTGGAGGACATGAAATGAAATAAAACCCCAAATTTTAGTAATTCCATTATAAAGTTCCAATCATTGATTTAAGCTTTTCAACCTTTTTTTTAATTTCATTTGAATCAAATTCCTAGCATTCAAACACAACTGAAAGGCATAAACATATCAGCATTCCTGTATTGGGACGTGGGAACCATGATTTTGAAATCGGATCCAAAGACATAATGGGAAATATTTTTAAAACTCAGAAGGGAGGCGGTCATAGCTTTTGCAATGCATTATATGCATCAAATAGGAAGGGTGGATCCAACCCTGCTGGGAATGTCAACATAAAAATTAAACACACTTCTAGGACTAGAAAACTTAAGTCTTTGCAAATGCGAACCTCAGTAGCTCTTCTTCGTGAGATTTTCTGCTAGGTGTCTGACGTCTGTAAAGGCAGTTAAATTTCTTTATGAATACACAACAAAACTCATTTTAAGAGAATGCTTGGATAAGAATTTGAAAATATCAAACCGGCAAATAACTATCTTGAAGATATGGAGACACTTCGTAGAGAGATTATACACAGCATCAGCAGCGTGCTCTTTCCTGAACAAATAAACTACAGGATAACCGAGAAGCCACCTGAAGCAATTGTAACACATGTAAATTTATTCCAAGAAGCAAAAGAAAAGAAGACTCATAAATCTCTGCCTGAAATAAAATGTGATTGGTAAACGTGTACAATACTGGTCCAGAGACGCGGACGGAGAACAAACTTCTCTACAGCTATCAGAACTTCTTATAATTGAAAATAAAACATTTTTAGGTTATAAAAGCGTCTTCCTATGCTAAAGAGTTCATATTCTTAAAAAAAATGTGTAAGCAAAGACGCCCAACAGCTACGCGCCTAAAATCCTATGCAAACTTCTTATAAATAAATTATTTTTACACAATTTCTATGTAGTTGGCTTTCCAATGCGATGTAAACGGACAAGATTAAGCAAAAAATAATTATTAATCAGTGTGGGCTCTGAATATTCGGCCCCGGCCTCCACCCGCTTTGATTTTCTTCGTTCGAGAGGAGTTTTAACGAATTTCAGTTTCGGGTAAATTTTGGAAGACAGATGGATTTGGAGATAAGACACTACCCAAAGATTTCGCCCTCATTTTGTGAGGACTTTATTATGATTTGAGTTTTGGTTTCATATAGGCGCAAGCTCCTATAGTTAATTAACCCTCCCGATAACAAGAGAGAACTTTCGATTAAGGCTAGTCATCAATCAGATATGTCGTAACTTTAGATACGCGGTATTCGACATATAGTAGGAACATTGGGCTTGGATTTGAAATTTGGAAAGTTGGAAGATTTGATATTTAAAATGAAAATTTCACCATCTTGCACTTAAAGCGGATGGTGGGGGAATGGATGATGAACCCGATCAAGATCCCATGGTTCCGTCGTCCCGGGCCATCGTTATCCCTAGTCTACTTAGTCAAAGGAGGTAGTCGACCCAACCTGATAGAAGGATCCATGTCGTCAGCCATGGGTTGCTTCGCCCAAGGGAACCTTGTAGACCTGGGGGTAGTGTTTGTCAAAGGGGACAAATTTGAATACACCCTAGCAAACAGAGGTCTTTATGTCCTATCGATCATATCCTATTTATTCATATCTCAAGAATTTGATGCCACTAAGGAACGTATTGGCTATGGTCATAACCGATATCTCGTGGTGCCATTTGGCAGCAAAATCACTCGGATCAGAGAGCCCCCGGGTCATAACTGTTTATCCTGCGGTGTCATTTGGCGGCAAAATCGTCAGTCAGATGACACGTACCACGTCCTTATTGGCAGAAGATTGTTTGAGAATGAATCCTAATGATACTTTTGACTAGGCATTAGCTCCAAGTGAGCTAAAGTTACATTCAAATTTGTTCACCTCGACAAACTGTTGCGAAGGGTGGATGTATTTTTCTTTGATTGCTTGGATGGTTGGATTTCAGTTTTAAATATCTTGATTTTGATATTTTTTTAGGATTTTCGGATATTCGGATTATCTTTTGAAATAGTTGAGATTAACCCCTCTGGTTGATATTTTCGTTCAACGCAGCCATCAGTGGGGTATTTTCATTTATGGACCTTATCGACTCTATCGAGTTGTTGATAGAAGATCAGATTCATTATAGGTTTTGTGCCTTTATTAGTGAATTACCATTGTTATAGGCCTTAAAGGCCTAATATGAATATATTAAGATAAATATATTGGTCGTTGCAATCGTATATTTGTTTGATGGTTCGAACCCTGTCGACTCCTATTGATTCGCATATAAGGATCGGGTCTATTGATTCGCATATAAGGATCGGGTTCGAACGTGAATTCACTTATTGATCCGCGCAGCATCCCTAAACGTCACGTGTGTACCAATAACACGCTCGCTAGGGCCCACGCGGGTATATGATTTTATCGATGAATCTTCCTTATAAAGGGCCTTGAAGGCCTAATATGAATGTATAAAATAAATATCCCGGTCGACCTCATGATCGCATATTTATTTAATTGTTCGAATCGTATCGAGAAGGATCAGGTTCGAACTTAGATTCATAATTTAGCCTGCGTAGCATCCCTAGACGTCACGTGTATATCTATAACATGCTTGCCGGGGCCCATGCAGGTATTTGGGGGTATTTTATAATTATTTGCTAAACCTTGTCAACTCCTACTTAATTGCTTAGGAGAATCAGGTTCAAACTTATTGACCCGCGCAACATCCATAGAAGTCACATGTGTTTCTACAACATGCACGTCGCGGCCCATGCGGGTTTTGATTATGATTGCCCCTTTTGTGTACCTATATGTATACAAATTATGGTGTATGTGCAGGGGGCATTTTTGGGCATAAGATAAATCTCCTACGGCAGCCCGCAAAATCTTGCGCTTGTCATAGCCTCTTTGACATATGCGCAGGAACTGTTGATTTTTCGATGCTTGTTTTTAACTTTATCAAACTTCACTGCTTGAATTTCCAATCCATTTGCATTCTGAATCCTTCTACAAATTCTTTATGAATACTCAGATATAAACACCGATTTACGATGTCTACCCTTTAACAGCCCAGACCAGAAATTAGGAAGATATTTATCAGATAAGGAGATGCGTTCTCACCTGCTAAGATGTTATCTCTTGAATATATTTCTCCACTTAGTGGAGCCTTCATGAGGATGGAGCAAGGGACGGTTTTGATGCAACCGATCAAGCATATGAAATAGATAGGAGAAGCCCCAACCAAGAAACAAATGGGTAATGCTACTACTTGTACTCTCAATACTACTATCAAGAACAATATCCTCTTTTACAAGCATCAAAAGTTTCTCTTCTCCTTGTTATTAAATACCTTCAGAGCATCAGCCTTCTTTGCCATAATCATGCTGGTCTCGATTTGCTCGTATATGTCCACCCTGAATCTTTGTTGAGGAAAATCATCAAGCATATCATTAAGGGAAACATTCTTTAGATCTACTTAGTATTGTTCTAATTGAACGATGGGGAATGAAACTGGGGCCCAATACTCTAAGAACTTGGATGGGTCAATTTTGTACCATAGTTTGTAGGTAACTCACTAAATCTCTTACAGTTCCTTTTGCTTCTTATGAATGAAATATACCATATCATTCTTGTAAAAGTGTCTCCAATGCCAAATCATGTCTCTTTCAGTCTTCTTGTTGTTTGCAAATGACCTCCTTCCTCGTATAGAGGAACTTATGTATTTGTACAAGCGTCAAGCTCGTGTTCATTATATATCTTCATTTATAGGAGAAAGGTTCATTCATCAACAAACTGTATCGCATATATTTGAACAAAGTATTGTCATTTGTAGGCAATATTACTATGCATGTTTGCAATCAAGCAACTTTGACTGTATGCAAACTGCATTTTATTTTGAACCTCTTGAATACACATTGACTAATAAGTCATTGCATTTGTTGTTTGCAAGGGATCGGTGTATTCTTCCACAAGGGAATTGATCTTGATTGTCGGGGCGTCGTTGCATCTTCCATGATATTTATTAGTTAATGTTTGTGCATGAATCATGTCATATATCATGGGTCATTTGTTGACTTTGAAGAGAACTCATATCTCATGTGGTAGATTCACATACTGATGTTTGTATGATGATCATTTGATATTTCATTGAAACCCTGCTATTAATTATAGACGCATCATTGCATCTCCCATTTCATTATGAGCATGTCAGACTAAACTCTAGTTCATTGTTTGACATCTTTGAGTTTATCTTTTATAATCACTCAAGTTGAACTCCTTATGAATCAATCGAGTTCTGTGTCATTTTCAAGTTCCATGCAAGTTTAAGTCCACATCAGGTCCTTTTCATTTGTTCACTTGGGTTCAAGTTATGACATCTTCCTTTGCATTTGCTTGAATATGAGTCCAAGTGATCCAAGTTGCAGTTGTCCAAATCTTGTTCAGGTCCCTTGTGATTTGACTCAAGTCATTGCTTGAGTTCAAATTGTACTCACTTGATATTCAAATCAAGCTCAAGTTAAGCCCGATGTCATTTAGTTCTAATTAAATTTTCAAAACATTTGAATTCGGCTCACACTCAATTTGTAAGTTCACTTGAGTCCAACTCACGTTCTTATGATTGTAGTTCTTCTTAGTTAATTTTGAGTTAAAGTTCTTTATAGTCAAGTTTGAATTCAAGTATTTTATTTAATCACTCGAGTTTGCATTTAGTCCATAAGTCCTTTGTAATTTCTCCAAGTCCTTGTATGCTTCAGGCAAAATTTTGGCAGCCTCCTGACGTCTCTCCCGTTTAGGGAAAAAACCAAAAGGCAACCTTCCCCTCATCGCTACTTGAGCGCTTCAGAAAAGTGTTAAACAACACCGTGGTTGCATTTTTTTTAATCCCTGCCCGCTACATGAGTGTTTAAGGATCTTCAAATACCTGTTGAGAAGAGCACAAGGATTTTCCCACATGTGGGTACTTAATTTTGTTCCCCTCACGCTACATGAGCTGTCCGGGGATTACCTACCTCGTTGAAAGCGTCGTGCCGGTTTCCCTCCCTACTACGCTACGTGAGTGTGTAGGGGGTTTGCCGGCTCGTCGCAAGCCACAAGAGCAGGATTTAAGTTAGAAAAATTATACCTTTATAACGAATGATGATGACGGCAGGATGCACAAAGTCTCTTCCTTTTTTTTTTTTGAAACATTACCCTCTTTTTTTTTTGACAAATAACAATAATATCATTATTACAGGAAATGATAATATTTAGTGATGTAGTTAATAGCAACAATTATCAGTAGCGTTAATAATAATATTCATTAATAACATTAACGCTGATTATTATTAATGATGATAATGATAACTATCAATATCACATTGCATTGGAAACCAATTCCATTAATCAACAATGATGCAAGACTAATAATAATAAAAATATACACATATACCTTAATCCTCTATTTTTTTTTAACTAAATTGAGATTGGGTTAGGAGCTGATTAAGGTCGACACAATGAATAAAGGGGCGGCTAGGTGAGTTGAATGGAGGTCAGTTCAATGGATCGTAAGAAGCGGCAGATAGAGAAGGGGTTGGGCAGCTATGAGAGGGGGTCCACTGTAGGA